AGCCTTTAAGGCTAACCTCACAGGTACCTACCTGACCCTAAAACTAACCTAAACTCAATTCACACCTTGGTCCTAAACCCAACCCCCAACCCACCAATGGAATTTAAACCAAATGGGGACTCGACTTTTGTCCCCAAATGCACCAGTTGTCCCCAAAGGCATTTTGTCTTAAAATTGCCCCCAAATGTCACCAGAAACAACCCCTCCCCTACCCACACACACACACTCAATATGCATGTTTCTTTTTATTGTGTTTTTGGTGGACACACAATATACACTGCTCAAAAAAATAAAGGGAACACTTAAACAACGCAYGCTAACTCCCGATCTTAATCAATGAAATATTCGCATTGAGTACTTTGTTCTGTACAGARTTGAATGTGCTTCACAAAAGTTTGATTTACTTGGACTTAGCGTGCGTTGTTTAAGTGTTCCCTTTATTTTTTTGAGCAGTGTAAATGAGTTCTTGTCTTTTTATGCATGATGCTGTTTTGTTGTTCCCAGGAAAGATGTATGTGTGCCAGTATTGTAAGGCWGTCTTTGCTCAGTCCATCGAGCTCTCGCGGCACGTACGGACACACACAGGTGACCGACCTTACGTGTGTCGGGAATGTGGCAAAGGCTACAGCCAGGCTAGTGGACTCACCGTGCACCTGCAAACCTTTCACAGTAAGAACACAGCAGCAAGTCACTCACATGTTTAAAGAGGCTTTTAGGTACAAGACCCATGTTCCTTTAGAAAAGAGGTTCTGAAACTGTGGGTCGGGTGCCCCCCCCCCCCATTTAATTAAATATGTTATTTTTCAACTCGATGCTCTTTTTATTTCCAAAAGCTCAAATCACTCTGAGTCACCTAAAAGGTTTTAATTTTAAAGATTCCAGTTCACGTGGTGAACACTTGAGTTGGGGGTGGCTTTGGTGAATTTGTAGGGCAGCCAACTTGGTACTAGAAATTTGCAAGTTTGATACCCTGCCATTCCTCAATAGGCAAGGTGTCCTTGAGCAAGGCACCTACTCCCTATCTGCTCCCTGGGCACTGCACCACTCCTTTTGGGTGTATCTTGTGTGATGGGTTAAATGCAGAGCAAAGTTCTGTCCTTGTTTGGGAGGACACAATGACTCATCACTCACATCGCTTCATATCATATCTTTAAAGGGTTAATAATTAGGCCTGCAACTAATGACTATTTTGATAGTCAACTAATCTGCAATCATTTTTTTCAATTAGTCAATTAGTAAGTCATTATTTTTAGCATCTTTTATAAGACAGATCTGCAACATATTTATTGTGTGAGAGACGTCTGCCTCTTATCAAACAAAACAAACTGAAAAAATTGACCAAATTTATGCGTGTAAAATGGTAAAATGTAAAATGGTAAAATGGTAAAATCATAAATGGCTTGAACATATKTGGCACCTTATGAAGTCCACATGGACTCCAAAAGCTCTGTACACTTGAATCATTCACCCATTCACACACTGATGGTGGTAAGCTACACTGTAGCCACAGCTGCCTTGGGGCTCACTGACAGAGGTGGGGGCTGCCATGCACCTGCGTCACCTGACCCTCTGACCATCATCAGTAGGCAAGGAGGGTGAAGTGTCTTGCTCAATGACACAACGACTGAGACAGCTGGAATGGGGGATTGAACYGGCAACCTACCGGTTACGRCTCCCCTAACCACTCCACCACAGCCTCCAAATATGATAACAATACAAGAACATTAACTTTAAAAACCATCCAGAAAGTGGGGAGGTAGTATCGTACACAGGAGTAAATACTGACTGACTTTTTTAACGTACAGTCACAAGAAGTTTCTATTCTTCCTCAAATATAACTGAAATATGGCTCCTCCCTCCTGTTGTTTTCAGTGRCACAGAACAGAAACGTCTGCTCATCCTCCACAGCTCTGCAGCWGAACACRCTCACACAAGTGTGTCTCCCCAAATAATGTTTCCCCACCAGAGGGCGCACCACAAAGACTGAAAAATCCTGAAGTCTGTCTGAATGAGACATTATGATTACCATAGATTTTTATGCTTTTGAAGCTTAATAAATGATGATCGTATTATACAAGAATAAACAGGGTAATCAGCAGAGGGTTAAGAATTCAGTCCATGCTGTTTRATAACTTGTGGAAGCATAGATACAGTAAAGAGGATCGATCTAAGCTTTGAACCCTGAGGAACTCTGTGACTAACTCTGGTGTTTGTTGTGTTTCCTGCTCTGTGGCAGACCTTTCAGAACCCCAGGACTGTAAGAAGTGTTGTCTCAGTTTCTCCTCGCTGGAGGAACATCAGCAGCACATCCAGGAGTTTCACCCAAAGGAGTTTCACAAGTGTTCCACGTGTAACAAAGTGTTCCCCAGCGCCGTACTGCTGGACAAACACAAGTCCACACACACTGGGGGCAAACCGTTCAGCTGTCAGTTATGCAACAAGTCATACCAGGTGGGTTGAACCAGTTCATCTTTCACAAACCCTGAGGACAGACGGTTCAGGTTCCTGAAAACAGACAGCAGGTTTCAGACTCATGTGTGCACCTTCATGTTATCTCACTGAATCCTCTGTAGCTGGTCAGTCCTCACAGCCACACATTTCTAACAAAACAAACATTTGTGACCTAAATTCTACATTTATCTGTATCACTGCGTCATTATTACTGCACAAGTAGGTCAGACATAAGTAGAGTCGTTTTTTTTTCCTTATTTACTCAGTGGTGGGCACAGTTCCCCTAAAGCACTAATAGGGGAACTAATTTCCTGATTAGGGCTTTAGGGCTTTTGCTAATTCTTTATTTCATTAGTGGATTAGCACTTGCTAAATTTATGGGCTAAATTTAAAGCACTAATTTAGTTGTTTAAATGTTATTGATCAATATTGTCAACAGCTGAGGGTGAAAGCTGTCAGACCTGTTGGTCACATGTGTGTCATTTATCCACTAGATCAGTGTTTTCTAACTTTTTTGCTTCTGACCCACAAAATAAGAGCTGAAGACCCTCGTGACCCCAGATATTACTTGTTTATGTAGCAAACTTTGCTAATAACTCTGTTATCATGGGAATAATAAATATAAACAAACCTAGTAACTACGATGCTAATTTTTATTATTTTATGATTATTTTATTATTATTTTAAAAATTACAATAATGATGAAAATATTCCATTAGCATTTTTTTGCATTTAAATTGATGTCTGGAAATCATCTGGGGACCCTCACTTGATGTTTTGTGGCCCACAAAGAGGTCCTGACCCCAACTTTGAGAACCACTACACAAGATGAAATATTAATATTCTGCACACAGAAAATATTCTCATGTTGACTCTGAGGAATGGTCCATGGGTCAGCTGGGATTATAGTGCTTTAGAATTAGGGGACCTAAATATTAAAGTTAGTGCTTTAGGGTTAGTGCAACTAATTGTTAGATTAGTGCAACTAATTGTTAGATTAGTGCAACTAATTATTAGATTAGTGCTGCCCACCACTGAATTTAGTGTTCTGTCAATGTAATATTGAACAGGTTCATCCTCATCCTGTCAGAAACACTTGCTGTTTTAAAATGTTTGATAAAAAACAAAATGAAAACAATTCAGTTTTGTTTTTTGTAAACATTTTAAGCTGTTCGTGGAGTTCTCACATTTTGAAGTGTCCTTGGGCAAGGCACTGAACCCACACCCTCTGATGTGTGTCCCATCAGTATGTAAATGTGATCTAAAGCAGTGTTTCCCAAAGTTGGGGTCGGGACCCAAAGTGGGGTCCCGAAACATCAAGGTGGGGTCCTGGAAAGATTTTAGGAATTAATTACATTT